TGCAGAAGCTGCCCCCTGGTAGTCAGTGTGCTCCCATAGGGAAAGCGCCGCTCAGCCATAGCTGGGTTCAAGGCTGGTGAGTCCAGCGGTGGTGACGGGAGCCTTTCCCACCTCAGCGGCAGAGCTAAGGATGTCTGACTGCTGGATTAGGCCTACTCCTCATGGTCATCACCCTGGTAAATGAGAAAGGAATAGGTAAAAATTAGTGTAAAATTAAAAAGAAAACAACTACTGCTATCTACTGCATTTGATTCACCAAAAGTACCGAATCCTGGATTTCCAAGAAGCCTTTGAATTTTGCTCCACCCTGAGACTCTGGAGAGTCCAAGATGACCTTCGGTCCTCCAAGTCCTTGGAGAATATAAATAGCCTCCCCAAAGTTCAAGTTTCTACATTAGTGATATTCTAGGGTGATCTCATGAAGCCCTAATTAAACAAGGTTTTTAATAGATTATCAAATAGATATTCTAACCAGGTGTTTTTAATATAAGCAGCAACTGGGTACTTCACCAAGATTACTGTCAATTATACAGAACTCTACTACCAGCAAAGACCCTGATTTGGGTCCATGCTGGCCTAAAACTATCAGATATATCTAGACATAGAAATATGGGGAACTGACACCTTCTAAACCTGCTTCAGTTGTCTCCAAGTATGGATAGTTTGCCTAAGTCACCACATAGCATTGGGAGAATTCTCTTTTTTCTCATCTAGAAGTGTTTACATCAGATTTTTTGATCAGCTTATATGTTCCTATTATAATTTCTACAATATGGGGGACCATGCCATTTGTACAAGTGGAATAATGGTTCTCTCTTAATCCATACTTTTGGTTGGAACACATTATTGCATTGTTCTTCATGCCTGGCTAAGTAAGGTTGAAACCTATCCTTCTTCTCACTGATCAGGTCTAACCCAGAAGATACTGTCTGCTTCAAATATTATCCTCTAATAATCTAATAAGAGAGACTACTTTTATGTAGAAAATAAAGAAAATTTAATAACATTCTTACATATAAAATTTTACTATTTAGAAATTGGAATTTTCAAAAGTTTACTTTTCCCTCTCTCCATACCCTTTATTTTAGATCCAAGAGGAATTGCTTAACGAAGGATTCAGGAAGAAATCTGATGAAATGGAGGCAGAGATAAATCGTCTGAAAAATTTGATTGAAAGTACTAAAAAGGATAAAACTCCCTGGATTGCACGGGCCCTGGACACACTTGCTGATGGACTCACTGCAACCCTAGCTATCCCTGGTAAACTAATTGGCAAGGGTCTGAATGCTTTGAGCTCACTGTTTAAATAAGATTAGTTTTCTTTAAAGAAAATTATAAAATGTGTATATATGCTCTGCCCTATTTTTGGTGTGTATGGTTTTTAATTTTACTCACAAAAGTTTTAAACATAAAAAGTGCCTACTAGAGGATTTTAGTGCCTGACATACATTGATAGATTGAGAGTTGGTTTTATTCATTTAAATTGAAAAACAAGCATCAATTTATAACAGAAGTTGGCAAACTTGGCCTACAGACTAAACCTATCCTGCTGCCTGTTATTGTAAATAAAGTTTTTTTGAAACACCACCACATGCATTTATTTACATATTGTCTATGGCTATTTTTATACCACAAGAGTAGAGTGAAGTAGTAAGAGCAATCACTGTATGACCCAACAACCTAAGAGAGTTCCTTTTAGACACTTTATAGAAAGGGTTGCCACCCTCTGGTTTAAGAGGTAGAAAAAGACCATATTTGCAGTTGAGCAGAAATTGTCTTTTTTAAAACATCAAGAATGTTACTGAAAGTCACAAAAGAAGAAATATATATTCAAGTCAATTCTTGATATAGCATGTTCACTTTTAGGAAATACATGTGCATAATTATATTACACAATCACACACACACACACACACACACACACACACACACACACACACACAGAGAAAATCCATTGCAGCAATATTTGTAATGGAAAGATTGGTCATATAAAGTTTAGTATATACATGAACTGGAATTCTAGGTAACCATTAAATAACTTGACAATGGAGATTATATATCCTATATAATAAAGAGGTAATATGCAAATTAACCCTCACACCCTCACAAGATGGCTGCCTATGACCAGGGGGGTTAGTGAGGGACGACCAAATGACTGAACAGCAGGCTGCGGGGGGGGGGGCGGCCAGTAAGAGGCAACCATGCTGGTGGGGGGGCATTTAGGGCTGACCAGGCTGGTGGGAGTGTGGGTGCAGTTGGGGGTGACCAGGCTGGCAAGGGGAGTCAGTTGGGGGCAATTAGGCTGACAGGAAGGGCAGTGAGGAGTGACTAGGCTGGCCGGTGGGCATTTAGAGGTGACCAGGCCGGCAGGGACGAGGGCAGTTAGGAGCGACTAGGCCAGCAGGGAGGAGGCAGTTGGGGGCAACCTGGCCGGCATGCAGAGGCAGTGAGGGGAGATCAGGCCAGCAGGGGTTGGCAGTTAGGGTTGACCAGGCAGGCAGACAGATTAGTGATTAGGAGCCAGTGGTCCAGGATTGTGAGAGGGATGTCTGACTGCCGGTTTAGGCCCAATCCCGGGGATCAGGTCTAAACTGGCAGTCAGACATCCCTTGAGGGGTTCTGGATTGGAGAAGGTGCAGGCTGGGCTGAGGGAACCTCCTTTCTCCCCATCCCCCATGCACAAATTTCATGCACTGGGCCTCTAATGCTAATATAAAACCCTTAAATTATGTTTTAAGGTGAAACAATTAGGTGCAAAATAGTGTGTATAATGTAATTTATATGGAAATTACTGAAAACTACTGACATGGGTGGGATTAAGAGTGAAAGGAATCCATAGTTTTCATTATAGCTTCCATCTTTTGATTTTGAAAATAAAGTTTGTATTTCCTATTCATAAATAAGAAAGAACATGTAAAATATGATACTATTAATAAACACTAATAGAAATGTAAAAATGACCATGAGATGATAAATTTTTCATTGATTCTAGAAATGACATTAGCCTGTTCAATGAGGGGCTTAAGGCTAAGAATCAGAGCACTGGAAAGCACAAAATTTCCATCCTAATGTTTTCATGTTGCCTTTTGTTTTTTAATCCCTATATGTACAAAACTAAGGTTTAAAGTTTTTAGTGATTCTTTCAAATCTCAGTGAGAATGTCCTCTAATTTCTATTTCTGAATCACAGCTTTAAGATATTAAAATCTGCCCTGGCCAGGTAGCTCATTTGGTTGAAGCACTGTCCCCATATGCCAAGATTGCGGTTAGATCCCGGTAGGGCACATATGGGAAGCAATCAATGAATGCATAAACAACAAATGGAACAACAAATGGGTCTCTCTTTCTCTCTACAATAAATAAATAAACATTGCCAATTACTGAAGACACCAAACATGAAATCCTCACTAGATTAGAAAAAAAAAAATGTTAGAACCAGAATTACCAAAAAAATATAAGAGCATGTACTGGTGGTGAGAAGGATCCTTTTATCTTCAGATATGATCTCACTTATATGTGGACTCTAATGAACAAAATAAACTGATTAATGGAATAGAAACAAAGGCATGGATGCATGGAACAGACTGACAGTTGTCAGAGGGCAGGGAGGAGGATGGGACTGGATGAAAGAAGGTGAAGGGATTAGCCAAAGAACATTATGCATAGACACAGATAGCAATGTGATAATGGCCAGAGGGACGTGGGCTGGGGGGCTAGATGCAGGTGGGTAAAGGGGGAGAAAATAGGGACATCTGTAATAGAGTCAACCATAAAAAATAAAATTAAATTCAATGATGGCCTCTCTATTGTATGCCAGTGCAGGTGGTCCAATGTGCTACCATTGCAGAACTGAACTCCTGCTAGTATTGGGATGAGAGATCCTGATGCATGATGGCCAGGTATTGACACTTAAATATCAGAAGCCCAGCTGATGCAGTGATAGTTGAGCACTGAGGTTGGAGTGACAGCCTGCTAGGCCTTATCATGGAAAATTCAAAAGATGATGAGTAGAACATGGTCAAGAGGGATAGGGAGGAAATAATCAATGAAGTCAAGGGTGGTTTATTAGGAGGCTATTGATTTATAGCCTCAATAAATTGTTACAGTCCCTTGATCTGAGCCAATTTCATACCTCAAACCTCTCACCTGGAGGAAGGTGTTCCTTAAGAAAGAGATGCTGGGTCCTCAGGAAGAAGGACCCTGGAACTCCAGGAGAAGAAATGAAAATGATTCCTCCTGCCTTCCCTCTGAGGGACCACTGGCCATTTACTCAGGTCCCTATATACCAGAGAAACAGGAATATTCAAACATTTAAGAAATACTGACTCAGGATCTAACTTGTCATTGATACCCAGATACTGGATAGATTCATAGACCTCCTATTAAAGTAGGAACTCATGAGTCCAGCTAATAACTGAGTCTTTGCCCAATTACAACTAATTAGCATCTATTATTTATTTCCAATTGGATAGTAAAGTTCATCTGAGGACAGCTTGTCATTTTTCTGCTCATCCCCTCAAAATATGTTTAGGCATGGAATGTGTGCTAAATAAGTTTTTGTTGTAAAGTCAAAGGGATGATGCATACATGACTGCTTTCAATTGCAAGAATTACATGCATGCCTCAAATGTTGGAGAAGGTGATAGGTAGCTTGAATTTTAGATACTAGGTTAAGGTGATTTATAAGCTAGAAGTATAAAAGAAACTTTTCTGAAGTCTCCTTCTCTGTGACATTGGGGGTTATAGTATTTGCCTCTGTGAGAATGTTAACACCTCTGTACTAGAGAGTTTAAACCACTTTATTCAGCTGAGATTCCAAGTGTTCAGAAGAAAGAATGGCTTACTTTTCTAAGAGAAAAACCATACAGTAATTAATATGTGACCAATAAATGGTATGGTTCAACACACTTGACTCATTGACAAGATCACAATCTGATTTCAAAGATGTGTTCTACGAACCCAGGCAACACATTGATGCAGTGATAGTTGAGCACTGAGGCTGGAGTTACAGCCTGCTAGGCCTTACCATGGAAAATTCAAAGAAGATGAGTAGAACATGGTCAAGAGGGATAGGGAGAAAATAATGAAGTCAAGGGTGGTTTATGAGGAGGCTATTGATTTATAGCCTCAATAAATTGTTACAGTCCCTTGATCTGAGCCAATTTCATACCTCAAACCTCTCACCTGGAGGAAGGTGTTCCTTAAGAAAGAGATGCTGGGTCCTCAGGAAGAAGGACCCTGGAACTCCAGGAGAAGAAATGAAAATGATTCCTCCTGCCTTCCCTCTGAGGGACCACTGGCCATTTACTCAGGTCCCTATATACCAGATGACCACTCATGTATACCTACAGCTCCCAAAGCTGGTCTTCCAGATGAAGTTAGTCCTCCACAGGCTGAAAGCCTAGGGTTCCAAAGTGATGCTCTCCAGTTTCAGTATTTTTGGCAGGACTGTGCCTGTTCAAGTCCATTTTGGAAAGAAGAAGGCAATGCTTCCCAATTCACATTTGACCTTCCAGGAAGCAGAAAAGGTTCCCATCAAGAGACAAAGACATGCCAATTTACCCAAAAAGCTTAAATCAGTGTTCACTCAGCTATATCT